TGTTGTGATGTAAGGACCAGCAGACTGAACCACAGAATGAAGAAGGGGACCAATCATCAGACACTCTTTAAAAAAAAAATAAATAAATAAAAGACAGGTAAGCATTAAAGCTAAACTCTAGGCAGATATAAAAGACACATGTGCTCATAATAAAGTGACTGCAATATATAAAAAAAAATCAACATAAAATATCATACTAATAAGTTCAAGAATGTTTGAACCAAAAAGTCCCAAAGGAAAAGTCCAACGTTGATGAGAGCTATCTTCTCTATTTGTACCAGAGAAAGAACAGAATGTGTGTTCCAAAAGCCTCAAGAACTCTTTGGTAATATGGCCACTATGCAAACCACCAGTGAGAAAAGCAATGCTTGTTTGGGTATGTCATGAATCCTTCAGCCAACTTCAAGGATCTTTGCAAGTGATTCCACCTCCAAATATACCTCAGATCACTGTGCGATGAGACTCCACACAAAAACAAAACCACGAAAAGAGGGGAGCACTCTCAACATAGTGCAAATCAGGTAAAATGGATTTAATGAAGGTAAATGCACTCACATGAATAGATATTATTTAGACACTTCATATCACATAAATGGTACACTATTATCAGTGTTTTTCATCCAGAGTTTCTTGAGCTTCTAAAAAAAATGCTAGTGTGCATGGAGCCTTACAAAGGAAATGCTTGTTTTAAGCAGGACTGCATTCTTTCATCACATTCCTCAGTTAAACAGCCATTAAAGTGGTAGTAAACTCCTTCTATATACTTTTACCTACAGGTAAGCTTATAATAAAGCTTACCAGTAGGTAAAATGAATATCTCCTAAACCTGCACAGTTTAGGAGATATTCACTTCTTTTGACAGCCAGAGAATGCGAACTGAAGGAAAGGCAACTTAAGTGACATCACTGCTCAGCCAGTCAGACGGCCGGAGCTCGCAAACCCAGAAAGAAGACCAGGTGAAGATGAAAGCCTCTGCAGTGGTGACAGTGCGCTGCTGGAGAGCTTTGTTTTAAAGCAAGTCCTTCATAATCCACTACTATGCGATGCATACTAGCACATGATGATGTTACCTTGCAGGGGATTTTCTTATTTTATTTTTTAGATGCAGTTTACTACTGCTTTAAAAGGAAAGACATTAAAATCTGTACATATTTACAATAATCAAAAAAACACGAACAGTACAAGTTTAGTTAAAAAAATACAATTGCTCAAAGAAAATGACCTTTAATGAAAACTGTATTACCAAAATGTGGATTGTAAATTAGGATGGTTTTATTTTGAGAGCTGCCCACAGAAGATATACCAAGAACTGTCCATTCAGCAACTAGAAGACATTTTTGTTTAGGACATAGACAAGCACACACACACACAGACAAGCACACACACACACACACACACACACACACACACACACACACACACACACACACACACACACACACACACACACACACACACACACACACACACACACACACACACACACACACACACACACACACACACACTACTGTAAACTGTGCGGGTCTCTTTTGTAATGAATATTTGCCCAGTTAAATAGACCGCTTCTACCTCACTGCCTCCGCAATGCTATATTTCCCATTCTCATCAGACTAAATGTCGGCTGTCACCCACAGGTTGACAGTACACATTAATTTTAGCTTTGTTTTGCCCTCTTGCGTTATTTGCAATGGATGTTTTTGTTCTTTTGTTAGATGTCACAAGAGGAAAGATGAAAACATGGGTTGTGCAATAAGCGTGCTTGAATTCCAACTGTCAGAAGTAATTTGGCGTTTCTTAGAATGTTTTTAAAGAAATGGAACATCAAGACTGCTTTCTACAATTCTAATTTTAAGTGAGTGTTGCAATAAAGCATTTCTTTCATTGCTTTCTAACCCAATATCATGAGAGACCTTCTAGGTATAGTATTCATAAATATATGCACTAAATGATTAATAGCAACCAGCCCCATCTTAGGCTGCCTATTAAAAAGACATAGTATTTGTCATTAAAAGTTCTCCCTCATTATAAGAAAGAAATTTTAAAAGGCGCCTGCTTTTAACCGACATATCTAGTGCTCTTGACCAGTAATACAAAGCTTTTAATCCAAACAACAATGTGCAGCAGAAAAAAAAACATCACTCTTCTATCCCACTAAAAATGGCTTTTTTTTGCTACATAATAACACAACCAAAAAAAATAAAAGCACAAAACGAAAAAAATCTTAGCTAATTTTTAAGAGGACAGTTATTACGTACAGTATATATTCACTTTGTTGAACTAGTAATGAATGCTAAACACTGGTGTTAAAACACAAACTAAAAAATAATTATTAACCAAATACTGCCAAACCTTTCTTTAAACATTAAGCTGGCCATACACTGGACAAAAGTTGAAGGAGCCAGTCCACACATTCTTGGCCAAGCAGCACTTGCATCCAACGAGGTATTCCGCAGTGACCAGAGCAGGTACACACGGCTGAACAAAAAATTTAAAGCATATAAAGGCCAGCTTAAGGTAGGTCATACATGATTAATTCCCTTTTGTTCAACAAGTGGGTTACATATATTTGATTGCCACAGTCCACACACAATGTAGATGGGGGAATCCTTCCTGCAGAGCTATTCTATTTTGACAATGGAGAGGCTTCCCCACCATCAGAATACACTCATCAGCACCACTAGTTATCGCTGGCAGCACAGATCGAGCAAAACATTTTCCACAAGGCTGCTTGTACAGAAGACTGACTTCTGTACAATCAGCCTGCCCATAGATGGGTCGAAGTTTGGCTGATTCAGGAAGAATTTATCTCCTGTGGTATAACTGTGTGTAACATATAAACAATTCTTTTTTTTCTGCTACTAGCTCTAACTCTACTGCATTATAAAGTCCAAACATCTTCAACACTGTAGACAATTTGAGCATTAGTGCATTAGAAGACACCAAAAAGAACGCATCAAAAATAAAACAAAAAATTCTAACGGTTAGAAATGCACACTCAAAACAATTTATATATACTTGTGAGCTACTATGGTGAATTTGTGAATGTGTTAATCAATTAAGTACAATTAAATAAACTCACATAAGGTTCGCTGGCACTCACACCAACTCATTAAATAGTGTTTGTGACTAAAAAAAAAATTAAAAAAATTGTGCCGTGCTCCCGTGTTAGACGTGCTATATATGCACCTAATATCAGCTGCGTTAATAATGTAAATATAGTATATAAGAATTTATATAACTTTATATATAATTAGTGACTAAACATATATAAAAACATTAAATTATAATAACAGTGTTCATCATGACCAATGTGAAATCAAATTATAAACTTATTCTCAATAAACCGCATAACCAAAGTCAATATATATATATGTAGAAAAAGGTCCTCTTTCAATTCAGAAACTCCAACTCCAGTATCTGGATGCAGTATGATCTATCTATTTATGTGCTCACCTTATTTTTTGCCTAACTGATATTAGGCTAAAACAGCTTTTTGTCCTCAAAGGACAGATGTAAATCAATTCTCCTACGTATGATATTTCTCCAAATGCTGTGTGGATAGCTGTAGTTTTGGTAATATTCCACCTGGGGTCTGTCCACTAAGTTGATCCCTGTGTTGAGGTATGGATGGATGGATATCTCCCTTTTCCCCTCCAGGGGGTCTCCTCCTTCCTTTAATATCCTCTCTGTAGAGAGTGGAGACCAATGGCTGAGAACGTCAGGCTAAGCACCATTCACAGTTCTTAAGAGGTTGAATTGTCTGAACCACTAGACAGACGATTGGGGGTTTATTTACTAAACCTGGTTGACTCAGAATCTTGGGCACCTGTAACATGGTAGCCAATCAGCTTCTAACCTTAGCATGTTCAGTTAAGCTTCAGCAATAAAACCTGGAAGCTGATTGGTTTTTATGCAGAAGTGGACAAGATTCTGAGTCAACCAGGTTTAGTAAATAAACCCCTTGGTGTCAGTCACTAGTCAAGTTTGATGCAGGAGAAGAGTTTTGTAGTCGGGGGCACAAGCCAAGGTCGATGCAGAAGAAGAGTTTCATAGTCGGGGTCATAAGCCAAGGTCGATTCCAAGTAGTAATAGTGGTAGCTCAAAGCTGTGGGTAGAAATACTGAGAGGAGCACAATAATCTGGCCAGACCTTTTTCTACATATATATATATTGACTTTGGTTATGCGGTTTATTGAGAATAAGTTTATAATTTGATTTCACATTGGTCATGAACACTGTTATTATAATTTGATGTTTATATATATTTAGTCACTAATTATATATAAAGTTATATTTATTCTTATATACAATATTTACGTTATTAACGCAGCTATTAGGTGCATATATAGCACATGTCTAACACGGGAGTGCAGCACAACTGTTTTAAGTTTCTTTAGAAATGCATACTGCTTCAGTTTGAAATAACGACTATACTTCATGCGATATTGTTATTTGTGCTGGTGTGTGATGGATGATCATGGATTGCAAGGGTTTGGACTTTAATGACCACAATAAAAAGTACAAAGTACTTTTACATTAGCTTCTAAAGTATTCTGAGAACTTGAAAATGTAGGGGACTTAATTATGAGTGGGATAGAAGGATAGGCTCTGCTATGTTCCCCTCTGCACCTCACTATTGGTTGGTCCCATATGATATCAGACCTTATTGAGCACTGTTGAGGCATGGAAAGGAAGGTGCAAGTGCTCGATTTTCTGCCTTTGAAATCTTGTAGAAATGTAGCTTGGTGCATGGTGCATTAAGGTGTATTTTAAGTATCTTATCATAAATGTTTCCATTATCATTGTTCACTTAAAGCGGAGCTCCAGGCTCCCCTCAAAAAATTAAGTCAGCAGCTACAAATACTGTAGCTGCTGACATTTAATATAAGGACACTTACCTGTCCAGGGATTCAGCAATGTCCTCACCCGAGCCAATTCCTCAATCAGCTTCAGGTGCAGGTGTCGGCATCTTCGATAAGGGAAACCAGCAGTGAAGCCTTGCAGCTTCACATCCGGTTTCATACTGTGCAAAGCACGCTGTACTTTGTGCATGGTCATGCAGTCTTCTGGGACTTGTGAAGTGTACTAGAAGGCTGTGGGGGAAGGAGGGGAGCTGAACTTCTGGCTCAGATCGCCTCACCTCGCCACGCCACATCTGACCGGAAGTGGCAGTGAGTACCTGACACAACCAGGTACCCGCTCCCTTCCCCCAAAAAAGTGGTAAATGTAGTAGTAGAGGGGGGAGGATATAAACAACTGGAACTTCACCTTTTGGGTGAAGTTCTGCTTTAAGTAGCGCATTTCTCTTTGCATTCCCTCACCCATTCCTTACATTAACATACCACAAATTAGCAATGTCCCTTCCATCTAGATTAAGGTTATGCTCTCTCTCTCTACTCAGTTCTTTAATCCCAATATTCTAGAATATATTAATGAAGCTGCAAACCTGCACACAATGACACACTGACTTCAGTAAAGAAAGCGTTCAGAACGCCGTTATAAATAGACGCTAAGAGGAAGTTCCAGTGTGGTTAGACCATCTTTCTTCCTCTCTAATCAGATACTCTGAGTTAAACGTCTCTAACGTCCCTCTGTGTAGAAGAACAGATCTTCTAGGTTTAAACTTCAATGATTTTACTACTAGTATCAGAAATTTAAGGAACACGGTACTACTTTACAATACCAGTCATCCAAGATTAATCATCATAAAAATATCTTGAACAAAGATGCTAAACAGAATGTTTTGTTATAAATCAATCTGCACTACTCCTAAACATTGTGGGGAATTTATTAAAACTGGGGCAGACAGAATCTGGAGCAGCTGTGCATGGCAACCAATCAGCTTCTATCTTTTATGTTCAAAGCTAACATATAAATGCTGTTAATATACAGCTGCTCTAGATTCTGTCTGCTCCAGTTTTGATAAATTCTCTTCACTCACATTATATTTAAACAAAACACACATTTGATCTGAAATTCAGAATCTACTTGTAAAACATTTATGCTGCCTTGAAGAGTATTTTTTTTTTTTACTTTTGGATATAGCAGTGAATGGTGAAAAATCTGTTTATATTTTGTTGTTTAGGCCCTGTTGGGAAGGTTACCATTCACTTCATGTCCCAGAAACAGGAAGTGAGAGGAAATCTTTACATAGTGAGGGCAATTTCTCTCTCAGACATTTGTCACTGGAACACGAGTCCCCATTGGTCAATTAACCCTATATTCTTGCTCAAGTGACACCTGAAAAAAAAAAAAAAAACTGGTATTTTCTCTCACTTTCAGTCCCGGTCACAAAGGTCCCTAAAACATGTAGAGATGCTGTATCTGCCCAGTGGAGACACTTCTAACCCTTCCCTTCTGTGACTAAAGCTACAAAAAAAAAAAAAAACAAACAAGCTTATATGGACACTTAAAATATACAACTGAAAGAGTTTTGCTATATCCGTTTGATGATTGCAAAAAAATACTTGTTGATCGTGCTATTAGTTAGCACTGTTTCCAGGTCTCCCTGAGAACTATAGAACAAAATTCTTCTTTTTTATTATTATGGAGAAAATGAGGGGTGCTTTGTAGTCTTAAACCATTTCCTTTCCTAGGGCGACGATGCTCATCCTCCATAGATTCATCATGGAGCAATACCACATTAGGACAAGAAAACTGTTACAGGCAGGATCACCAGGTTAAAATAAAGAAAAACAACCATTTCTACCAAGTACTGATAGTACATCTAAGTACTGATGTGCACCAATATGTTACATTACATTTTTGTTATTGGATTTAAAGGATAAGTTCAACTTTGGAACATGTTACATGTTCCACCTGATTTTAGGATGGAACATGTAACATGTTCCCAAAGCCACAGCCATGCCTGCCGCCCCCCTCTCTCTGGCAGATAGTAAGGGGAGAAGTGTCCCTGTACATCTGTCAGATTTGAAAATTGAATGGCCATGCGGGCTCTGCCAACAAGACCGCATCACTCATTCACAGTGTTTTGTCAAAGAGTGCCTACAAGTCCCAACAGCCTTAGCAGCTGTGGGCTTGTAGTTTTCTATGAACTACCACGGCGCTGTGGAGGGCTGTGGTAGTTCATTGAAGCTTCCTGTCAGTATATCTGCTAGCTCGTTCATCCCGTACAGCAAGCAGATATTATGACAGGTCTGCAGGAGACCTAGATGGCATCAGCGATCGCTGGTGCAATGCTTTACAGACGTCCTTTGGACAAAAATAATAAATTCAAATTTTTTTAACTTGCAAAAAATGTACATTGCTTATTTTTGTCCCAAAGGTGAACTTATCCTTTAAATCTGCTTTAAAAGCTAAATTAACATTTAAAACATATATCAGGTTACATACGTATTTAGAGTATAACAGGTAACAGGTTTGAGCATCCCCCTCTTCCTTTGACAGAGCCTACAGGGAATGCAGGCAGCAAGAGTGGCTAGGAGCAAGAACTCGGAAGCGAGAAGACCTCCACAGCCTCCCTGACCCCCGAAGAGGGGAGCAGTATCAGGCACAGCATCCCTAGCACCTCCCAAAGCCTGGATTCCTTCAACCTTCTCTCCCAGCTCCAACACACACACACCACACACGGGGACTGGGGTGGGGAGGGGCATATGAGGAACTGCAGACAGGGCTAGTGGTCTCTCTCTCTCATCCCCCCTCTTTCTTTCACCCCCCTCTCTCATCCCCTCTCCCACGCTCTCTTATCCCCCCTCTCTTTGTCATCTCATGAGGAGCCCTTAATAATCTGTCGCAGCAGAGCAGCCAGCCAATAATTCCTACGTAAGGCTGCTCTGCTGTGACAGATTATTAAAGGCACCAATCCTCTCCATTCACAGCCTGAGCCCCTGTACCCCCCCCCCTCTTCCCCCTCCCCCCCCCCCTCTCTCTATCATATCACCCACCCTCTCTCTCTGTCTCTTATACCCCCCTCACTGTTTTTCATACCCCCCTCTCTCTCTGTCTCTCATACCCCCCTCTCTCTCAGTCTCTCATACCCCCCCTCTCTCATACTCACTCTCTCTCTCATACCCCCCACCTCTCTCTCTCTCATAACCCTCTCTCTCTGTCTGTGTCTCATACCCCCCTCTCTGTCTCTCATACCCCCCTCTTTATCATATCCCCCCTCTCTCTTATCATCCCCCCTCTCTCTTATCCCCCCCCCTCTGTCATCTCACAAGGAGCCCTTAATAATCCGTCACAGCAGAGCAGCCAGCCAATAAAGCCTATGTAAATTACATAGGGGTTAATGGCTGGCTGCTCTGCTGTGAGTTTATTAAGAGCACCAGTCCACTCCATAAACTGGCACCAATTCTTGGGGGGGTCCTTCAAACTTTTCTACCTTTAGGCTCCTTAGATGTAAATTCGGCCCTGGCTGCTGTTCACAGACAATGGGGTAGATTTACTAAAACTGGAGTACTCAAAATCTGGTGCAGCTGTGCATGGTAGCCAATCAGCTTCTAACTTCAGCTTGTTCAGTTAAGCTTTGAGAATATAACTTGGAACCGGGTTTCAGTGCAGAGCTGCACCAGATTTTGCACTCTATAGCTAATTCTACCCCAATGCGTGCATGCAGCATTTAGAACTGCTGGCAGGAATGGACTGAATCTTACCAACAGCCATTCAGCAGTACCTGTAGCTACACGAGGTCAGTGAGAGCTTGTTTTAAAGTTTTTTTATTGCTTGCTAAAGTAATGTAAATATTTGAAAGTCCTTAGCCTGGTCACAATTCTACTAAAATACAACATAACAGAAATAAGTTTCAAAGCACAATGAGAATCTCTTTCTTCCAATGGATTTGTGGGGAAAGGGCAAAAAAAGCATGTTTAGAGAATTATACCTGTCATGTGTCCCAGAAGACATCGGATCATTCACAAAGCGCAGCACATGCGCAGTGGGCACCCGGCTGTCACAGAAGCCAGCGCGGGAAGACTGTGCAGCGCTGGAGCGAGGAACAGGTAAGGCCCTGCAGGAGAGAACAGCTGAGCGGCCGACCTGGTATTCTGACATGGTGGCCGCAGAAATACCGGACCGGCCGCTTTATATTCGCTCCATAAGACGCACTGACATTTTCCCCCCTTTTTTGGGGGAAAAAAGTGCGTATTATGGAGCGAAAAATACGGTATATATCAAAACCTATACCTAGTCACATGCTTTACTGGATGCTACTTACTCTTTGGGTGTGTTGAAATCTTCCAACCTAGCCTCAAAAAACTGCAGGACTTCATCACACTGGGAGATATAAACAGGCATCCTGATGAGAGCCTAAATAAAACATAGAACAGTGTTACTTTCTCAATACTACAACTAGCTGTAAACTGATCTGTAAACCAGCAGTCAAACATTAAAAAATCTAAGCACAGAACTGCAAAAATATAAAAGAAAATGAACAAACTTTTTTGTTAAAGAAAAATTCCAGGTAAAAAATATTAATGTGTTATTACACCCAAAAGCAAATAGTTATTATATTGTAGCGTACCAATTCTTAGCTTTGATGGCTGCATTCGTTTTAGGTTTTCTTAGTTTTATTTTCACCTGGTCATCTGGCCAGTATGTCTGTTTTTCAAAAGAGCAAGCTCTCCTACAAATGTATCAGTTAAGAGTGTTGAGACAAACCATTTACCACAGATAGAGAGTACTTACAATGATCAACTTTTATTTATTCATTTAAAAAAAAAAAAAAAACTTTATCCCAACAGAAAAAAAATGTTTGCTGTAACTGCTTCTTTAACTGCAGTGTGAGCTGTAGTTCAGTTTCAATGTATTAGTGTATCTAACTACTAGTACATCTAACACTCCCATCCTCTCAGGAACTGTGTTACTGGCCAGAACACAAGGTGAAAACATTTATAGGGGGCTATGAAGCCTAAAAAAAGAAAACTAATGCAGCCAAAACCACATGGAATGATTAGTAAGCTGCAAAAGTTTACATTTATGGTTTTGGGTTTAATACTGCTTTAACCAATCTGTGCACTGCTAAGCCAACAGTCACAGAATTCCCACATGTTCATTGGGAAGATCTGCTTTCTATTGCAGTGCAGCCATCTTTCTGCTTCATGTATTAACATTTAAACACACAATTTTAGACTTGGGTTGTTTTTAAAAACATATACATTTGTACGTGCATACAGTATGAGAAACAGCAAGGGTCCTACAGCAGCTGTATTAGGAAATTCATATCCTGCATTATAAACCAGATACATAAAACGAAAAAAGGCAGCGGGGTAGACTAGATCACGACTGCTATGTTTGGATGAAAAACTAAAACCCAAAACAGGTGGGCTGTGCTCACTGTCAGAATATCAGCTTTTACACATTTCCAACTGTGGTGACCGTAGTATACCTTTACATTTTTTTATTTTTTTTTTTTAATTCTAGCATTGGAGACATAAGCTAATGCTTGAAATAAAACATTAGTCACTATCAGTTTGCAAAATGGTGATTTGCAAAAATTACAGCTTTTTATTGCACAACACTGAGCCTTGAAGAAGTCTGTCTGGTTATAATGGCAGAAGACCACAACAAATTGCTGGACTGCCATCCTAAAAGGAAAAGTCTACAAAGGGCAATACCAAAATGGAATGATCCAAGAATACAGAAACACTGTCTGCTCTGCCAAAAGTAACTTCTGTTGGAATATACAAATGACCACATATTGGTCATATCCAGTATTGGATAAATCTTTTCAGGATGAGGAGGATTGGGAGAATTGCAGGTGCAAGGGTATCCCTGACAAATCTACAGAACCGAATTATGCCCCTGAGAGAGTCAGCACTCTCTAAAATCCCCAAGCAACATATACAACACCTAGTTGATATGTGTACGTAATGAACTGGTCACTGAGTGTAACAGGTTTCCAAAAACCTCAGTGGAGCTATATTTGATAAAATGAAAAGGATAGTAGCTGTAATAGCCCATCACTAAGGGACACCGTAGAGAGATAGGAGTCAATGGATCAAGCCACCAAGCACAGAGGGGAACCAGAACTGTCTCCACTGGCTATCCCCTGCTCCTGGGTCCAAAGCTTCTACTCCTTCCCAACATCATCACCAACAGGTCCAAGAGACATGACAATATGACAATCAAACAAGCATGAGCCATCAGAGGTATTAATAAATGTGTGATTTAATGACTATGAACATCAAAAAAGGTGTGAGAGAGTATGACTGCCCTGCTATAAATTTTGTATTTGCTTAATTTTTGTGGCAGCTGAAATGTAACAGGTTTCTTATTTTTAGACACCAACTTCATTTGTAGAATACTAGTTATAGAGTCAGGCATGTACTAAAGACAGTCATGGGCTATGGTGGTCTCAAGTATTGTACAGTCATGGTGGCCTCCGTAATAGCAAAGAACATAATTTCAAAAGAGCAAAGTGCCAAAGCCCTCTTAAGGAAAGGTATTCATATCTTGCACATAAGTATTTAATTACAGAATGTTTGCTTTGTTTGTGATAATCACACATGTGCAAAACGGTCACTATTTACAAACAACATGTATCTATATTGTCTCATTTAGGTCCTGTATTAATCAAGCAATACACCAGCAGATAAGAAGATGATAAAATATATAGTAAGCGCTCCTCAACAATTTAAAGCGGCTGAACATTAAAGGAAAAAACACATAAAAAGTCCCAAAATTCATATATAGAGAGAATGCAGCGCTCTTAAAGAAAATTATCAATAGACACAGTCCTGTGAAAACAGTGCTCCGTGATTCCCAGTGCAAATGGTAGAAATTCAAACTAACCAGAAAGCGTATAGGTAATACGCATGTGTATATATATATCCTGAAGACTCCCCTCTCCTCTCAGGTCTGGTCAGAAAAATGGCTGGGAAAGATGGTAATCCTACGCCCTCATGTGGTGAAAAGGTGGTCCAGCAGGTCAGAGAAGTATCAATCTGGATAAGCCTCTACAGGAACTGACACAGGGATCACTAGGGCTGCAAGGATTAAAGGGCTCCTCACAGGAGACATAGGGAAGCACTCATAGTGTAGTAGGTAATGATTTTATTCCAAAAAACACAGGTGCATAATGAAATATCACAAAGCCGAGTATGAATGAACACACTGACCCTTTAAGAAATAAAGATGGCCGCCGGGCCTCCTCGTGGCACCGGCGGCTTAGTGTCAACGGCGTCCTGGGCTCCACTGACGCGTTTCGTGCGCACGCACTTCTTCAGAGGTGGAACATAGGTCCTATGTTCCATCTCTGAAGAAGTGTGTGCGCACGAAACGCGTCAGTGGAGCCCAGGACGCCGTTGACACTAAGCCGCCGGTGCCACGAGGAGGCCCAGCGGCCATCTTTATTTCTTAAAGGGTCAGTGTGTTCATTCATACTCGGCTTTGTGATATTTCATTAAGCACCTGTGTTTTTTGGAATAAAATCATTACCTACTACACTATGAGTGCTTCCCTATGTCTCCTGTGAGGAGCCCCTTTAATCCTTGCAGCCCTAGTGATCCCTGTGTCAGTTCCTGTGGAGGCTTATCCAGATTGATACTTCTCTGACCTGCTGGACCACCTTTTCACCACATGAGGGCGTAGGATTACCATCTTTCCCAGCCATTTTTCTGACCAGACCTGAGAGGAGAGGGGAGTCTTCAGGATATATATATACACATGCGTATTACCTATACGCTTTCTGGTTAGTTTGAATTTCTACCATTTGCACTGGGAATCACGGAGCACTGTTTTCACCGGACTGTGTCTATTGATAATTTTCTTTAAGAGCGCTGCATTCTCTCTATATAATACACCAGCAGAGCCTTCCAAGAAATGAAACTTTTTTCACATGATTACCTTCAAAATTGGGTTTCTAAGAAATATGCAAGCAGTCTTTCCAGCAACATAAACCAACAAAGTTTACATATTTTGCTTTTGTAGACCAGAGAAAAGCCCTGCTGATAAAATCGACTAGATTATAAGGCCAGATTCAGTCATGCTGTGTTTTGATTAATATGCTTTGCAGTAAAACATCCCCATTTATTTTGTTTATACAGTACCATACCTGTAGTATTCTTTAACTATCCGCTGTGGCGTGTCAAAATGCATGTGTGATGCAGTATGCTGGATAAGTGTATTGGGCTGCCATTCAAAATTAACAGCACTTGCAACACAGGCATGGTATTTTATGTTGAGGTTAGTACAACAAATAGGCCTAAATATGACCTAACATTCTTGTACTGGATGATTTTTACCCTTGTTTCATGCCAACTGTATGTTTCTATATAGGGCTTACAGCCTAAACTTGTCATTCATTTCATGAGACTACAGAAAAAATAAAGATACACACACACACACACACACACACACACACACACACATATATATACATACACACACACACACACACATATTTACATGCACACTATATTGCCAAAAGCATTGGGACGTCTGCCTTAACACACACATGAACTTTAATGGCTTCCCAGTCTTAGTCTGTAGGGTTCAATACTGCGTTTGGACCACCCTTTCCAGCTATAACAGCTTCAACTCTTCTGGGAAGGCTGTCCACAAGGTTTAGGAGTGTGTCTATGGGAATGTTTGACCATTCTTCCAGAAGCGCATTTGTTAGGTTGGGCACTGATGTCGGACCAAAAGGTCTGCTTCCCAGTCTCCACTCTAATTCAACCCAAAAGTGTTTTATCAGGTTGAGGTCAGGAATCTGTGCAGGCCAGTCAAGTCAAGGCCAAGCCCAACCCCTGAAAAACCACCCCACACCATAATCCCCCCTCCACTAAACTTTACACTTGGCACAATGCAGTCATGCAAATACCATTCTCCTGGCAACCACCAAACTCAGACATGTCCATCGGATTGCCAGACAGAGAATCTTGAATCATCATTCCAGAGAACATGTCTCCACTGCTCTAGAGTCCAGTTGCGGCGTGGCTTACACCACTGCATCCAACGCTTTGCATTGCACTTGGTGATGTGAGGCGTGGATGCAGCTGCTTGGCCATGGAAACCCATTCCATGAAGCTCCCTACGCACTGTTGTTGTGTTAATTTGAAGGCCACGGCCACTGTCTACGGACAGTTGGATTTTTCTGCACACTATGCGCTTCAGCATCTCCTGACCACGCTCTGTCACTTTACGTGGCCTACCATTTAGTGGCCAAGTTGCTGTTCTTCCCAGTTGTTTTTACTTTGTTATATTACCACTACAGTTGACCATGGAATATTTAGTAGCAAGGAAATTTCATGGATGGACTTGCACAGGTGGCAACCTATCACGGTACTGTGCTTGAATTCACTGAGCTTCTGAGAGTGACCCATTCTTTCAAAAATGTTTGTAGAAGCAGTCTGCATGCCTAGGTGCTTGAGTTTATACACCTGTGGCCATGGAGGTGATTGGAACACATTAATCCAATGATTTAGAGGGGTGCCCCAATACTTTTGGCAATATAGTGTGTTTATTAGGTACACCTTGCTAGTGCCAAGAAAATATCCCCCGCACCATTACACCACCACCAGCCTGAACTGTTGATACAACGCAGGATGGATCCATGCTTTCATGTTGTTTATGTCTAATTCTGATCCTGCCATCTAAATGTCACAGCAACCAGTCTGGTAATTCTCCTCTGACCACATGGCATTTTTGCTCACACAACTGCCGCTGACTGGATATTTTCTCTTTCGGAGTATTCTCTGTAACCCTACAAATGGTTGTGCGCGAAAATCCCAGTAGAGTAGTTTTTGAAATACTCAGACCAGCCCAATACTTTTGGCAATAGTGTGTGTGTGTGTGTGTGTTTCCATAACATGGATTCCCACACAGGGGTATCCACTATCAAAACAAATTAAACAAATATTCAGCCTCCTGGCTCTCTCAGGTATACATACACTCCTGCTCTCTGGCTCCCACCTCTCCTAGGTGGAGCCCTCCTGACTCCTGGGCAATGACCTCCTGTCTGCCAGGGTGGAGTCCAGAAACATGGTTAGGCCTCTACAAAAATGCCTGCACCTGTGCAATCAGTGTGCTGGGGGTTCTGTAAACATGGACCAAGGATTGGAGATTTCATCCCTCCCAAATCACTTAGAAATCTCCAGGCCCCAGGTCCCAAAACAGGCTTTAAAAACCATTAGCCGCCCGGCCAATGGCCGTTTGGCGGCTTGAAAAGCGCTGCAGCTTTCCGGGTGCACGCCATTTGGCGTGCTCCCGCACATGCGCGGTTTGCGCGGTTGCAGAGCGACGCAGCAGTGCGATCTGTCACCGCCCCGTGCACCTCGGACACGGCCGATGACAGATCCGAGTACCGGCTCCCCGTTGCCAGTACCATGTGACCTGCTGTGACCAATCACAGCAGGTCACATGACAGTTGTATACAATGGATGGCTTCATTCATGATGCCATCCATTGTATACTAGTGCCTAGCTGTGAATGGTCACAGCTAATCACATGCACATGTCATGTGATTAGCTGTGACCAAATCACAGCTAAGCACAAAAAAAAAAAAAAAAAAAAAAAAGCTGAATGAATCGATTTCATTCAGGTAAATGCTTGCTTATAGCAAAGTAATTCTTTGCTATAAGCAAATTGTGTAAAAAAAAAAAAAAATACTGATCACTTCCCCAAAGTAGTACAGTGTTACTATGGTAACATTGTACTATTTTGGTCATAGTAAAATATGAAAAAAAATCTTTAAAAAAATAAAAAAAAAGTAATAAAAAATTAAATATAATAAAAAAATAAAAAAAAATAAAAAAATATATATATTTTTTTTTTCATACTGTCACCAGTCAGTGTCGCTGTTCACCGCCATGCCAGTTATATCATGACGCTGTACTGCACTGGTGAAAAAAAAAATATTGAAAAGAATTTTTTTAAATTTTTCATTTTCCGAAAAATGATGACAAAAAAAATACAACTTCAAAAACCCCTCCATGCCTCTTATGAAGTACGTCGGACTGTCTACTTTGCAAAAAGGGGTCATTTGGGGGATATCTGTACTGTTCTTACATTCTTGGACCTCAAGATATTAGATTGGCTGTCAGTACTTCAGGATTGATCAATATTCAGATCTATACCATAGTTTTGTGAACTCTATAACTTTCCTACAAACTAAAAAATACATCCTAATTTGGGTTATTTTCACCAAAGACATGTAGCAGAATACATCTCGGCCTAAATTTATGAAGAACAATTATTTATTTGTAAACTTTTATAACAGAAACAAAGAAAAATGTGTTTTTTTTTTTTCAAAATTTTTGGTCTTTTTTTGTTAATTTAGCAAAAAAATAAAAACCCCAGCGGTGATTAAATACCACCAAAAGAAAGCTCTAGTTGTGTGAAGAAAATGATAAAATTTTAGTTTGGGTACAATGTTGTATGACCGTGCAATTGTCATTCAAAATGTGAGAGCGCTGAAACCTGAAAACTGGCCTGGGCAGGAAGGTGTAAAATTGCACGGTATTGAAACGGTTAAGAACCAACAAGGAAACTGACAAACCAGTTTCCTCTGCATTAAACAACCCGCCTGGAGCCCCTCAACCTCTATGGTTGAGAATCCTGGGTTATAAGCTTGATTTAGACCATGGCAGGATACCGCACTGCCACAATACACACACGCACACTGCAAAAGAATTAAAAGAACACTTTGAAAACACATCAGATCTCAATGGGAAAAAATATCCTGCTGAATATCTATACTGATATGGACTGGGTATGCCCTATCGTTTCATGGAAATGAAAATTATCAACCCACAGAGGACTGAATTCTTAGACACCCTGAAAATAAAAGTGAAAAAATTATGCAGCAGACTAGTCCATTTTGCTGAAATGTCATTCATTCAACTAAAAATGGTACTCAGTAGTTTTCTTGTATGCATGCCTGGAAACGTTGGTGCATGCTCCCAATGAGACGACAGATGGTGTCCTGGGGTATTTCCTCCCAGATCTGGACCAAGGCATCACTGCACTCCTGGACAGTCTAAAGGTGCAGCCTGGCATCGTCGGATGGACCGAAACATGATATCCCGGAGGTGTTCTATTGGATTTAGGTCAGGCAAACTTGGGGGTCATTCAATGGTATCAATTCCTTCATCCTCCAGAAAATGCCTGCATATGCTCACCACATGAGGCTGGGCATTGTCATGCACCAGGAAGAACCCAGGGCCCACTGCACCAGCATAGGGTTTAGCAATGGGTCCAAGGATTTCATCCTGATACCAAATGGCAGTCAGGGTGTCATTGTCTAGCCTGTACAAGTCTGTGCCTCCCTCCATGGATATGCCTCTCCGAACCATAACTGACCCACCACCAAAGCAGTCATGCTGAACGATGTTACAGGCAGCATAACATTCTCCACGGTTTCTCCAGACCCTTTCACGTCTCTCACATGTGCTCAGGGTGAACCTGTTCTCATCTGTGAAAAGCACAGGAAGCCAGTGGCGGACACGTCAATTCTGGTGTTCATTGACAAATCGAGCTCTCTGGTGCTGGGCAGTGAGCACAGGGCCCACTAGAGGATGTCAGGTCCTAAGGCCACCCTCACGAAGTCGGTTTTTCTGATTGTTCGGTCAGAGCGATTCACACCAGTGGCCTGCTCGAGGGCATTTTGTAGGGCTCTGGCAGTGCTCATCCTGCAGGAGCAGATACCGGTCCTGCTGATGAGTTAAAGATCTTCTACAGCCCTGTCCAGCTCTCCTAGAGTAACTGCCTGTCTCCTGGAATCGCCTCCATGCCCCTGAGACTGTGCTGGGAGACACAGCAGACCTTTTGTCAATAATATGTATTGATCTGCCATCCTGGAGGAGTTGGACTGCCTGTGTAACCTCTGTAGGGTCCAGGTATTGCCTCATGTTACCAGTAGTGACACTGACTCTAGCCAAATGCAAAACTAGAGAAAAAACAGTCAGAAAAGATGAGTAGGGAAAAAAAATGTTAGTGGCCTCCATCTGTAAAAATATTCCTGTTTTAGGGATGGTCTCATTGTTGCCCATCTAGTGAACCTGTTGTTAATTTCAATAGCACCAAAGCAACTGAAACTTATAAACAACCCCCTCTGCTACTTAACTGACAAGATCAATATACCAGATGTTTAATTGACTTGATACTATACTATAATTAAAAAGCGTTCCTTTAATTTCTTGAGGTGTGTGAGCATGTGTGTGTGTGTGTTTTCATTCAAAAATGTACATAGACAGCATATCATTATTTGTAGGTGGTTAGGATTCAAACCACAAAGAAAATAAGACAGTTTTATTTAACAGCCTAATTCCTTTATTGTTTTTCAACAAGTTTCAACATCCAAGAGATTTAAACTCTGGCCTAAGGCACTGCAAAGACAGAAAAAACATCTTTATACTAAACTGGCAAGGCTGCAAGTGATATCTGTAAAGAGTGTTTCACACAATTACAAATCTTATTTTAGACCCTAGAGAATAAAAGTGGTAGTTCCAATTTTTTATGTCACATGATATTACTGCAAAATGTCAGTAAAAATACAAGAAAGTTAAATTTAGGGCACAAAAAATGCAATAATTACCCTATTTAAAATAAATAAATAAATAAATATATATATATATATATATATATATTATATATATATATACATACATATACAGTCAGGTCCATAAATATTGGGACATCGACACAATTCTAACATTTTTGGCTCTATACACCACCACAATGGATTTGAAATGAAACGAACAAGATGTGCTTTAACTGCAGACTGTCAGCTTTAATTTGAGGGTATTTACATCCAAATCAGGTGAACGGTGTAGGAATTACAACAGTTTGCATAGGTGCCTCCCACTTATAAAGGGACCAAAAGTAATGGGACAATTGGCTTCTCAGCTGCTCCATGGCCAGGTGTGTGTTATTCCCTCATTATCCCAATTACAATGAGCAGATAAAAGGTCCAGAGTTCATTTCAAGTGTGCTATTTGCATTTGGAATCTGTTGCTGTCAACTCTCAAGATGAGATCCAAAGAGCTGTCACTATCAGTGAAGCAAGCCATCATTAGGCTGAAAAAAACAAAACAAACCCATCAGAGAGAGAGCAAAAACATTAGGCGTGGCCAAAACAACTGTTTGGAACATTCTTAAAAAGAAGGAACGCACCGGTGAGCTCAGCAACACCAAAAGACCCGGAAGACCACGGAAAACAACGGTGGTGGATGACCGAAGAATTCTTTCCCTGGTGAAGAAAACACCCTTTACAACAGTTGGCCAGATCAAGAACACTCTCCAGGAGGTAGGTGTATGTGTGTCAAAGTCAATAATCAAGAGAAGACTTCACCAGAGTGAATACAGAAGGTTCACAACAAGACGTAAACCATTGGTGAGCCTCAAAAACAGGAAGGCCAGATTA